ATGATGACCGATCGGAATACGTCGAATCAGGAAATTCATGAATATACTAAGAATACTACATTGCTTACAGATGCGCAACGCTTTTAGTAAAAATAAGAAAATCAATAAACAATAAATTTTAGCTTTAAGCGGAAGAGGTTCATTGTTCTACCGCCCACGCGCATAACCTTTTTGAAACCTCTTCTACAGAGATAGGCCGATATTCGAACTAATCATTAACCACAAACTTAGCAAGAGGACTGCGGTTTGCATGCGGCTCTTACGTTTCGCTTTGTTCTCTTTGCTCCGTTATAAAAGTTGTATCTTGTAGGGGCCACAGCGATCGAAATTCTGGGCTGCACGCACTTGGAGATATATACATATCCGAACTTGCTCAGTTCAATTGCTATTTCACTATTTCACTCCCCCCAGCTAACAGCTTCCTAGTGTAAATTTTGGACTCTAAACAACAATTTAAAAAACTCATGACAATATTGCGAGTTCACAAACATTTGTTATCCTTTCCTAACCGCATGGTTCATCGAAAAAAGAGATAAATATAGAAAAAAAAACTTCTAAAAATTAGCCGCTGAGCAATTCTTCAGCACAAAATTTACTTTTTCCAAGAATCAGACATGAAGTGGTTTGAATATAGCGAAATTGATCATGTTATTTTTTTTAAAAAAAAGAGCTTTGTTTTCTTTATTAAAAGCTCTGCAGGTTAACCCTGGCCCCTAATTCAATTATCACCTCTTGACTAATGCTTAATTTATTGTAATTGACACTTGTTGAAATTCGCAAACGTGACAATACCAAATATCCATTATTTTCGTCTGAGTGAGCCAATGGCTTCCTATTGTACACAACAGGCCAAGTAGTACGCCAATATCATCCAGTCACGCAAACTTCTCGAGGCCAATACTGACGCGGCAGAACTTTAAGGCACCTCGTACAGCGAAACTCTTTATTTCGCGCGCAGCATTTGATTTTAAGCGAATTTTCCTCGGAAACATTGCACAGAAATGGCTGACTGTCCTATCATGCAGATTGACGAAGACCCTCCTGCTGTACCGATGTCAAATTGGGAAGCCGAAGCGGTCCATGATTATGGAAAAATGTACGCGCAGAAATATTCCGACCTCAGGGATGATCAAGCCACTGTTTGGACGAGCATGTACGAGAAAAACCTTGGGAGGAAGGTCAGCCGCTTACCGCCATGGGAAGTCTCTGAGACCGGTCGAAAAGAGAGTACAGAAATGCACTTCGGTGACCCTACCAAGAAAGACTTCGCTTCGGTCATGTTACAGAGAGCAGCAGAAGCCGGTGCACTGACCCACAAGAAACATTTCGAGACTGCGGAGCAACGGAGGGAGAGGAGAAAAGGAAAGAAAACTAAAAGCGAAAGTGAATCCAGTAGAGAAGGAGAGGAAGAGAAAAAAGACAAGGAGGGGAACGCAAGGACGTCCTCGCTTTGCCAACATGACGATGAAAACGCTGAAAACGCCACCGGAAAAGAATAACATAACCTGAACCAACACAATACATACAGACCTCTAATGTTCTCTCCGCTGTCCTTGAACTCGGAAATTAAGGTATTTGAGCCTGATTAAAACTACCACAAATACTTGATCTTGGCTGCTGAATGCACATGACTGAGTTTGAATCTTCATTCCGACGACAAAGCTATTTAAAATTGGGTTAATTCACGAACGTTTCATCACAAATACTGGGCGGGAGAATCGATTTGAACTGCTGCTCGAGAAAAAGCGTACGATCGTGTTTAAATTGGCAACATGATGTCTTCATTCAATGTACATTTTTATTTGTTGCTAAAAGCTTTTGAAGGATCTAGATAGTTACTCGTTGTGAAGAAGATGTTATTCATTTCTCGATAAGTTGCTGTATTTAATAAAACCTGATGGATAATTTGATCCACTTCGCGTTACGTGTAAAACAGCCGAAGTGACCTTTATGTCAAAACAAAAGCTTTCAAAGTACTTAGTAAACACCTGCAGAATTTTCATATTTGAGAGAAGGAAAAAGTTTTCTTTCTTAAGTACCTCAATGCAAATATATTTGTCAATATTTCCGTAGCGTGACTGTAGTGTGTTATTTTGCCTTCAGAGCAATAAATGAGGTAGAATATGATGAGATTATTTCAATTTTCGCGATAAACCTTGTAAATGGAGAATTAGTTGTAAATTGATTAGACACATTAGTGTTGTATTAATTCGAAGCTGTACCGAGCACGTTGATTGCTTTCAAAGCTTGACGACTCCACAATCCTGCGATTGCTCTAGTTTCCATTGAAACTAAACGCTGTTTTGGAAACTCTTAGCTCAAAAGCGCTCAAATGCATTCTAATACATTATGCCAGTTCACTCAATTACAATTTCATTAAGTCTCTACTATTACAATAATTCCCGAACTTCGTTGTTGTTGCCTAAATTCAGGAAAGGGCTTGTTTAAAATGTAGCAAAAAGCTCTGTTTAACGGGAAGACTTTGCTATTATTCGTGATAGCTTCTTGAACGGAGCTTCGACGTGAGAAGACTTTTCAAAGCTTGTTTCAACACGCTTTGAATCGATGGACTTGTTTTGATCGCAGTGGCGTACGAACCACTCAAAAAACCCTGTCATCCCCTATTTACACGTACTAAGTTTAATCAAGGGCCACTTTTCATTTCAAACAGTATTCGAAATAATATTGCCTAAGGGGTGCGTTTTGCAAACAACATGTAAGTGCCTTTCAGTTTAATTATGCAAAACCTAAATATAGGTCAAGACAGATCCAACCTTTATCAAGACGCACATAAAATCTGTTGAGTGCCGCTCTCGCTAAGAGCAGTCCTCTCGACTTCCCGTCGAAAAAAAGTTTTCTTTTATTTTTTGCCCACGAAAAGGGGTTAGGACACAGGTTTCAAAAACAGTTTAGTTGTTCTCCGATTCTCCCATTTTGCGTCGCCACAGGCCAAAAATGATATTTGGCTAGACCGCCCGTGTGGACAGCGATCGAAAAGTGTAAAATTTCACAGATTTTGTCCAGCGCCCAGCGACTGCAATAATATAGCTCACTAAAGTCAAGAGGACCGATCTTAGCGACAGCGGCACTAAATTGCCTCAACTTCCCGTTAAAACGTGAAGTCCTTGCTCTAGGTTGCCATATTTTAGAAGGATAAACTGACAAATTGCGTAAACAGGATGTGGATCGTGGTCAAGAAAGTTCGCAATTCAAAAGCCATTTAATTTTTAGCCGTTCATGCGAGATCGATCGAGCAAAAGGTTAATTGACCGGGGAGACTTAACTCTTTCTGTTCATCAGCAACTCGACCAAAAGCCACCTTTGACAAAAAAATCAGAAACAATCTACAACAAACATTGCACACACCGTAATAAGACATTAGGATGGGAAGAATGTCTCTCTTGTACGTGGGAGTAACAGGCATGCGCATGCTTATCACTTTACTTTCAGCCATTATCATTGTTAGCGTTTGGCGAAAGCAAAGTATGGACTTTAGATTGCGGATCACGGATCACGGATCATGAACTTTAATATGATAAAAAAAATTTAAGACTGCGCAATAGTTTAAAACGTCATAAGCTTGTTCTTCAGAACCAGCTTCTGAGAAATTTATGTGACTTGATTATTTTCGTTTGGTTGATTGTGTGGTTCTTTATTTATTTTTTTTAGCAAAATTCTGCTATTATTAAGTCCTTATTACGAAACAATTTGACACGAAGCCATGACTGATCGTAATTCGTGGTTGTTGAAGGTGCTGTGTCAAGGCCAGGAGATAACTCCGGGTATTTCTATTGAACTAACCAAATTACTAACAAACACTCGACTGAGAAGCCCGTTACATAATTATCATTAAAATCGGTTACGTCTTGTATGGGCAGTCTTAACCTAAAAAAACTCAAGTTATAATCACAGCTTATACATGATAGATGTCTTAGCACAAATATTGAAACACTAAATTGGCCATAAAATCACGATAGAGAAAACTCCAACAGATATTTATTACAATGTTTGAATTTGGAACGGTCAACAATGATTCTGAAGGTATTATTAATTGGTAAGTTTCTTATTTGAAATGATAATTTCAGTATTCAGGGGGTAATTTTGCCATGCAATAATTTTTCGTTTCACAGCAGGAGGGTGTCTTGCTTTTCTCTGGAACATTCAGAGATCTCCTCACTGATTTAGAGTCCAGTACAAAGAGAAGGAAGTAATTAGGCTCTTACTTGTAATTAGTCTTGGTACAAAAAATTGAAGCAAAAGTCTCACGCAGAAAATTCGAGAGGTCTGTTTGTCTTCTAATATCTTCCCGCGAAATAGCTCTTGCTTTCATGCAAAATTTCCTCCATAGAAATCAGGAAAGTTAGAAGGTAACGAGTCCGGGTGAGTGTTCTTTCTAGTACAGGCGAAATTTTATTCAAAGCTAAACAAAGGCTGTTTTATTAATATCATATTCGTAAAAAAATGAAAGCAAATTAAATATTAAAAGCAAGTAGTTTTTCAACCAGTCACGTGGTCCTTTGAACACAGCCGATAGATTTCCAGCTATTGGTTCGAAGTGATCTGAACCAGCGCTTCATCATATGAAAAACCAAGAATTGAAACATGCATGCTGTTATCTCAATCGATTAAAGCTCTAATCTACATTTATTCAAGTTTGAAATTCATCTTCAGGGGCGTTGACTTGTAACATTAACCTTGGGAACAGTTAGAAAGGGAAGCATTTGACACGTGCTTAAAAATCCGCCATGAAGTGACTGCTTTGCCGTCTTCTTTCATTCTGTCAATCCGAGTGCCTTCAATATCAATATTCTTCTCTTGAGTAAGCACTCCAGCTTTTTTCATCGAGCTAACCAGTGTAACTCAGGATGACTGAAAGCTAATCAGTCCCCCTTCTGAAGTTAGAATTGACGGTAAGCTTCAGGACATGTTCTAGTTCCAGTTACTGCATTAAGAGAAAAGAAATTACGTTTCATTATTTTTAATTTCACATTTAAAAACATTTAAACAGCAGCTACTGCGTTGGTAGCGGCGAGCTCCACTGGGACAAGCGATGGTTTTATCATTGCCGTCGACATAACTCGTCGCTCAGCCCAATTGTTGATCCTTGTTTTCCCTCTTTCTGTTTGCATTGCACTGTAAGCTATCGTACCTGCCATGGCAAGCTCTACCAAGCGAAAGCTCGACTGAAAAGCCAGCCACGGCCAGGGAGAAGGATGGACGACTTTGCTGTACATACTGTAAACACCTAACATAGAATAGAACTGCAGCCCACACACTGCAAGGCCTAGGAAACTGGTACCAAGTGTAATCTTAGCCACTTTTGTTGTGCTGGCCTTGCTTGTCGTATTTAATGAAGGACGTACACTTCTCTCCATGGCAATAAGTTGCCGCTGAACATTCTCTACGCTGTTCATGACTCGGCATCCACTATAGATGAAGCTACCGGATAGAAACAAACCCCAGATAATGAAGAATGATTGGCACACGATCAGGAGAGGATCCAGTTCTGGTTTTATGGACGCTGATGTCTCTGCGGTGAAGACAATGATAAAATGTAGAACAATGACAGCAGATAAAAATTTCACATTCTGCAACTTGTTTGGGACGATCTGCATTTTAGTGACTTCAAGAAAAGCCAGTTGAATTAGAGAAAATGCTGATGTTAGGCAAGGGTAAGCAACTCCAAAAAGAAGTAGTGTCAGCCATTTTGGATCTTCGATACCATTTTGTCTCGACTCGTAAGGATCTAACAATAGATACGCAGATCTAGTAGATCCCAGACCGAACAGCAACAGGTTGATGGCAAGGAACAAAGGCTTTGAGCCAAATCCTTTTCTGCGGTTAGCGAAAGCTACAGCAATAAATGCATGAATGGCGAGGAGGCCAAATAGGATTCCAAACCCAATCCAGTGTAGTTCCCATGCCTGACCCCAAATTTCCCGCGCAACTGGCCAATCAGGACCCGGTTCAGGCAAGGCTTCTGTGGGCAACTTACTGGGATTGTTTGTCACTGTGGAATTTGACATCACCTAAGAGAATATATTATTTTTTATTGAACTTTGAAGGAGTCCACTCAAACCGAAAAAAAATAAACCAGAATCTAATATATCGTCTAACATATCGTAATTAAAAATCTTAACTGACTCAAGGGCAGTTGGGATAGCAAGTATTTTTGCGTGAACTTGCAGAAATTTCAAATATAACGGACGCAAAGAAGTGTCTAAAAGTAGCACAGTTTGGGCGTCTAGAAATGATTTCCTGCTTCTTCACAGCATTAAGAGTTGTTGCTGTAAGGTGCTGATTGGCATTATCTTCAACGTGAAGCCAGTCGGAAAATTCTTGTTTAATTGGGTAGAAAAACACCAAAATAGGACAGTAATACCAATACAGAAAAAGAATTCTGCGGGGATAAAAAAGATTGAGTACTCGCAAATCGGACAAACTTCAAGTGTTTGCACAAACCGCATGACGTTGATTCCTCGATTGTTAAGAGAGCATGATGCAGCGTTTTCAAAAGGCGGATATCTTCAGCCACAAGCAGGTGAAAAAAATTCGTTATCCAATTTTCACGGCATTTTATTTAAGCAAAATAACGTCCGGATACTCCCCCAGCATGATCTTCGAGAAACGGTTCCTTAAGAAAAAAGATTTTTAATTGATTCAGAGCAGTATTTCATACTGCATGAATCATGCCGATCTTGACGCTGCATCAAAGAAATACTAATATCTTTTAACACGAATCAGACTCATGTTACAGAAAAGCTATGTTTTCTGTCAGCATTTTAATAAGTAAAAGTAAAAAATTGCAGATTTTGGGTGAAGATCCGTGATTTTCTCTCGGCAAAGAACTCGAATCTTTAAAGAGCTTTGCTCAATTGCACTTCGTTGTAATCTTAGTTACGCTTACCTATCCTCTTTCCTTCATGTTCTAGAAATGCCTATCTTTCTTTATCTTAAAAAGTTTTTCAGAGGCTCAAAAAATGACCAATAGCAAAGTTCAGCATGATGTTCATGGTAACAGCAAATGGCAAACCTTGAACCTCTTGCTGGCTGCTCTCAGCCGTTTGTACACTGCAGTGAGAGCTGATTTGCCTCAACTGTGAACAAGGAGTTTTTCTCAATTTTTCCACCGTAATTCGGAGGATTACAGGAAAGGTGAGTCTAATCAGAAATATTTTTTTCTATTTACCTCAAGTGCGATTTTGTCCCCACAAGAACCGCTGTCTATGAGCAAATGAATCCGAAGAATACAGAAACTGTCTGAGTTCTCCTCTACACTTACCAACCATCAAAGTTCTGCGACTCTGACGTTTCCAAAGAGAAACCAGCTGACAGAGTGGTTGTTATTTAGGTTACTGATATCATTTACCAGGTGAGTCAGTTCCTATTTTAATCACATTTCTTCCCCAGTGGGATTTTGATGGGATGAAGCATCATGGGATGTAGGCCATGAATAAAGCATAAAGACAATGGTTTCGCATTTCAATTGAATATTTCACGGCCCATGTAGGATATCTCTTCCAAGAAAATGCATTATTAATTTAACAATTTAGGGCGGGGAAACAAGGAAAAGAGGTGACAATGAACAAGCTAACTAGATTTTCAAGACTTTAGTCTTTGTTATGCGAAAACAAAAAGACACGACATTTATTTTGATATTGACCCACTGCCTTCGCCCCATTACCTATCAACTTTGTTCCCTGCTTAATCAATTCGCCTCACGTCTCACTTGACTGTCATGCAATATAACGTTTTTCAGTGGGAGAGTTACAATCGTTAATTTTCGCATTGCATGTTACAATCACATGCAATAACAAAGCTAAGAAACTACTTAAAAAATTCTTAACTGTTGTAGAATTTTCCTGAAACGACTTTTCCAATATACCTCTGAACAAGCCAAAACGGCAGCAGCAGTTGCACTTCTGATGGCTTGAAACCTTGTTCATTTTTATTTTAAACGATACTGAAAAATTTCAATTAAGTCAAATCTTATCTCTCAAGTCACAGTCTGATTTCAAATCGTAGAAAGAGTCATTTTCTAGCAAAAACTCATTATCATATACAATATTCAAAAAGTCAAATTTCTTGGAACAGGTGCCATGTCAAATGTAATTTAGTAAATGAAACTTTCGTCAAATTATGACCGCTCAGTTTTGAATTGCGTCTTAAAATTAAGACGAGGAGACAAAGCTATTCTTCCAACAGAAATTTAATGGAAGGTTCTTCTTCGTAAGGTATGCCGATTGACATATTTTGCGTTTAAAGTACACGATTAAATTGTGTCAAATAAGATGGTTGACTCCCGTGTCAAAAATGATATGGCTCATCACGTACTAGCGGAATAGTCTGGAATCCCTAATTACTACACAGCAGAATCTCACAATAACCTAAACCAAATGTTCCATTCATATCTAAGACTCTGCAGGTTTAGTATTTTACAAGGGGCCAGTAGATTATGAAGAAATAGCTACCATGGCAACAGTTCGAGCAAAGAAACTAATTGGCCGGAATTATGCTTAAAAAGATCAGTCGTTGGTAGTTTCTGAAAAATATTTGAGATTCTATGAAATGACATACATCTTAAAGTTAAAGATGATTTCTGGACTCAAGGTACATAAAATTATTACGCCTGGCAGGAAAGTAAGACTCAAAGAATGTTGCCAGCTTCCCCGTGGGGATTCCACCCACAACAATTTCGAATAATCTCACGTTCGGCTAAAGTACGAAATTAGCTGCAGGAAACTCTTTCACGAGCCAGGCTTTACTAGAATCAACAACTTCAAAAGCGTTCGTGTGGGTTTAGAGTTAAAATCTTGATAGTTTCGTACATATAAAGTGTTACTTTCACTCAAACGATGATCGGTTCAGAATTTTGTGGAAAATAAATACATAATGTGTGATATAGGAGCTATTTTAACTAACCTACCTGTCCTTCTCTTCGATGATGCAGATTAGAAATATTAGCGGAAGAATCCAGCGTTAAGCCTGTATTCGTATGAATGTATTAAGCTGACGAATTAGTTTGTCGTGGCTTATATGCACAATTTACTTAGTTGTGGACTCAGAATTCTGTATTTGCTTTGCTTAATGTAGTTTTTGACGGCCTTTGCGGGCTAACATAAACGACCGTTACTCAGTGTTTCCACGGACAAACATAAGAGCCCAAAATTGATTTCGACGTCGCTTTCAACGGAAGTCTCAACAAAATCTTCTATAGAAAAGGCAGTATTGAAGGACAGTGAGAAAAGGGATGTGGTTATAGAAGGCGGAGGCAAAGACGAGAGGGAATTTCAGGGTTTTTTCATTACGACCGGAGAGAAATGCTTTTCAGAGGAAGAAAACACGAAAGGGCAACTTGTTGAAATGACCGATGCTGCAACGGAGGAGAAGCAACTTTAACACTTCAGTACGAAAAAAAGAACAGCAATGAACAATTATTATCAGAAATGAACAAATATTTTGTAGATAAAATATCATTTTCCAATTCAACTGATTCAATTCCAATATTCATCATTCAGTGCTGTAAATTAAGAACTGGTTTCTTAAGACATTATGCTATCGTTACTTTGCTTCTTCTTTTTTGATTTAACTTAATTTATGACAGACTTCAGTTAATCGCTTGCAAACGCCATTCCTAGCTAATCATCTCACAAAAATGAAGATGACGATTTTCTTCCCTTTGAAGACTGTTTTTCTTACTCTCTGTTCGTTTCTTATAACCTCAAAAATTTCAGCAATGATTGCGATAATGATTCCATCTGCACGCGTCAAGGTTTGAAATTCCTTTGATCTCATGTTCTTGATCTACTTGATAACTATGGCTTTGAAATGTGTGAAATATTTGTTCCGAACTGCTTCGCTTTTGACCGCATGAGCGGAAATCAACTGAAAGGGACAAATATAGCTATCTACTAAGTAATACACCATGACACCAAAACATCATTATTTTGTGTCAGCAGAGAGTACTGTAAATGAGCTTTAAGGGTGGCCCTTTGCTTGAAACGTCTGCTTTAAATTCAACTTTAACCCCAAAGTAGAAGTCTGCGTTAAGATAGACACATTCCTTGGAGGAGTTCCTTCCGTGCAGGCCCTTCGAGGCATTACTACTCATATTAACCAGAGCTAACGTTCACCAGTATATTTCTGCACTTCACCAGTCTTTTAATAAAATATCAGATTGCTTTCCAGGTCTCGATACAATACCACATCACTTTGGTTGGTTCGCAGCCAACCAATCGTAAGCTGAGCCTCGCAAGACATAAGTTAAGTTTACCACATGCTCAAATGCAGAGTCAACAGTCAGTTTTAATTTAGCAATCGGTATATTTTTTTACTCAACATATGATCGCTTGTGTCAGCGCTAGCATGCGCTTTAAATTGACAGCACAATCTGCATGACCAGTCAGCGGATACGGATCGATCTTAGGTGCCTCTCATGCGAATGGAATCCATTTCTTAGATATTCAACCCACGCATTTCTTCTTGTGTGATGTTATTCTAATAAATGAACCACTTTCCATTTGGAACAAAGAGATAATTCTGTTGTGGAAAGGTATCCCAAAGGACTGAGTGAGTAAGAGAGAGAGAGCTAGAGCTTTAGTGTTCTAGAATGTTTTTATTGAAGGCCTTAAGCGATTACTTAACTATTACAGGGTGCCCTTTCGAAAAAGCTCAGAATGTATTAGTTTTAATTTGTTTTTAGTGGTAGTTTTATTAACCTGTGCTAACCTATAAAGAGATGATCGAAAAAGCGTGTGGGAGGGGCAAAAACTAGTCGCCTGCCTTTCCCGTTGCCTCTACTTAGCTTTTAGTTACTGTCTCGGTTGACCAGTTTGCCTGCAGTTGTTGGACACGCATATAGTTCAACTAATGTTGTTAGTGTCATTGCTTACCGAAAAAGATTAACCTCCTAACGTGAGTTCAATGCAGTTACTTTGTCTTCTGAGCGTAGCTTCTATTTACGTAAAAAACAACATAACTCCAGGAGTAGAGCTACGTGAGCTTTGTACAGTGTCGGTTCATCTTCTTTTCTTTGCCAGCCTTGTAAAAACCAGTAGAAGTCTCGGTTTATCCTCACATTATTTCATTAGTTTAGGTACCAAAGTAGAAATTTTCAGTGATATATTTCGATGCAATGTTCTGTGATTTCGAGTTATATTGCATTGCATGATTTCTCACCAAGCAATATCACAATGTCATGTCATGTCGTGTCGTGTCATGTTTATCATGTGGAATTTCAATATGGTTCACTTGGTGCAGTATTTGGACAACCCATTTTGGGCAACAATTAATGATTGGAAACCATTTTCCATTTGAATTCATGACCCAAGGGCGTAGATAGGGGAGGGGGGGCCTGGGGTATCCGTGACCCACTCCCCCTCCCTCATTTGAAAGTATTTTTTAAGTAAAACACGGGGTGAAGGTCGACATGACAATCTGGTGAGAACCCCCTGTTACACCGTGTGACCCCCCCTCCTTGAAAAATCCTCGTTACGCCCCTGTATACGCTCAAATGAGAGTACTGCATTCTATTGTGGTTTAATTCTTGAGGACAAATTCACTCCCTCGGTCCCACTCACAGCGTTGTCTTTCTTGTTTCCCCCTTCCCTTTGCATCACACTGTAGGCTATCGTGCCTGCCATGGCAAGCTCAACGAGGCGAAAGCCCGATTGAAAAGCTAGCCAGGGCCAAGGAGAGGGATGAACGACTTTGCTGTACAAACCGTATACGCCCACCATGGAATAGAAATTCAACGCACAAACAGCAATTCCCAGGATGCTCGTGCCAATGGTTATCTTAGCCACTTTAGTTGTGCCAGACTTTACTTTCTTGTTTCGCAGTCGCTCGTTTTTCTCAATCGAATTCAGTTGCTCGTGAACGTTTTCCACTCGCCTGATAACTTTGCATCCGCTGTAGATGAAGCTACCAGAAAGCAGTAAGCCCCAGAGAATGAAGAAAGACTGGCACACGATCAACAGGGGGTCCAGTTCTGGCTTCATGGAGGCGGAGGTCTCTGCGACCAATACAATGATGAAGTGGATCACAATGACAACAGAGATAAATTTCACATTCTGCAGCTTGTTTGGACCAACTTTCAGCTTAGTAACCTCCAGAAAAGCCAGATGTATCAAACAAAACGAGGAAGTTAGACATGGAAAAGCGATTCCAAAGAGAAGTAGTGTCATCCACTGTGGATCCTGCACGCCATTTTCTCTAGATTCGTACGGATCTAACAATAAATACACGGATCTGGTTAATCCGAGCACAAGGAGCATCACGTTTATGGCCACAAACAATGGCTTGCGAGCGAATCCTCTCCTATGATTCACCATCACTATGGCAACGAAGGAATGAACGGCCACCAAGCCAAACAAGATACCGAACCCAACCCAGTGTAGCTCCCATGCCAAGCCCCAAATTTTCTTCGCAATTGGCCAATCAGGGCCCGGTTCGGCTACGGCTGCAGTTGTCGGCTGTTCAACGGATTTACTTGCAAAATTCGACATTAGTGATAAAGGTCTGCAAATCAAACATAAGAATGCTCATTTCTTTAATGTGTATTTCCATCGCGGGTAAAGCACGTTCTGAATGGTGTTTGTTTCCTGAGGACGAATTTACTTTTGATAGCGATTTCCATCACGATTACTTTATGAAATGATAGACAAAACTTTGTTCTGCATTTCATTTTCTATTTAACATAAGTTAAAATTTCTCAATTAAAAAGGCAATCTTTCTATGATTTTTTAAATCATTCGGAAACAGTCAAGATACATGGAGAAGAAGGAGGTAAGAGATAGAAATGATAGTGGTGCTGATGGAAAATCAATAAAACTACACAAATAAGGCAATAACCACGGAAATGGACACAATTCATAATCCTAGTTTGAATATCGTCCATTTCGGGTTAATTAGTATGCATTCTATCTCAGTTTTTTGATGCGTTTCCGCTATTCTTTGATGCGCTCGTTTTTTTCAGTTAACAGGAACTATACGAACAAGACACTGGACGAGAAAATGTTATTCTAATAATGTGAGGTTTTAAACTCGATGCAAATTGACGATAGAAATTAATTGACCATGAGCATATCTCGAATTGCTTTACATTTATGTGAACGAGGCTGGACAAATGTGAATAAGTCTTCAAATGCAGGCCTGTGTTATGCAGATAAGGAAAAATTTTCCGTATACTAATTTGGGCCTCACGAAAAGTGATAAAAATGCCAACTTAGGAAACCACCCTTAACCTTATCTATCTCACCTCCTTGTTTCCCACTGGTTTTTTCGACTTGAACGCTTTCGAAAGGTCCTCCTCATCAACGATTGATTAAAATAGCGTCTAAGAGCAATATTTATTTGCCAAAAAGGATGAATGACGTCGTGGGCGGAATACATTCACAGCGTTAAAACTTGGGAAACTGTAATTTAGAGTTTGGATTGACATTTTCATTGGTGTCCACGAGATGAAACTGACTATGACGGAAATGACTAATGATGAAAACGTAATTATAACACCACAGGTGTCATATATGATCGACGTTTCATGCGCTTTGCCAAAACTACATATTTAAAGTGTGGGTTCGCATTTTGAAGTTAAAAGTTACTTTGTAGAATGCAGCCCAAGAGATATCAACGCCCTTCGTCAGTGTTTGTGCCTTAAAATGTAGGCCAGCTAGAACCACGAGGAAAAGGAACTTTACCGAGATGAACGGCACTTCTTTTTTTTTTTCTTCCTCTTCACTCTATTTGCATAAACATAAGATAAGCTCATATCACACACACACTTGGCTTATAAATCATGTTTTCATGTCTTCAGTTTTCGCTCTCAACTTCTTTCTTTTGAAACATATGAGCATCTAAAGCTTATAATTTCTTAACTTACGGCTCAGTATTGAAGATCATCCACATTCAAAATTTTCAATTAATTCGTGCTTGACAAAGAACGTCAGCAACATAACTTTAATTTCCCTTAACAAACAACTCATGTTTCATTCAACAACTACCTCTAACACCGCCGAATGACTCTCGAATGACAAATTTCTGCTTTTGAGACTACCTTCTTTATTTTCAAATCTTATCTGAAAATGATGACTTAATGGAACTTTAACCAATCCCGCGTAAATTTCTAATTTTGTAATGGAATTTTCGGAGTCACTTTTTAATAAAAGAGATGACGAATGTGGAATATCAATTAAGTAGTTCTTACGTTCTCTAGGTGGCTGTCACCGTAAGTTTTTCAATTGTCTAATCAACTTTCCAATCACTTCATAAAAATCAACCCACGCTTAGGCTTTCAATAAAGTGTGACAAAAGCTCTAAACAACAAATCCCAAGTTCACTCTTATACCTCAAGCTAGCAAAAGTTTTATTGACAAGAAAATTGAAATTAAACTGTGTTTTAAGTTTCGAAAAAAAAAAAGAAAATTCAAATCAATTACAGATGTGATACACTTTTAATTTACTTTATTCCTTGTCAGCACGTACGTGTGCTATACTTTATGAATACCTTTAATAATTAATACTTGAAAACTGAGAAAAGATAGGGGTATTTTTAATTAAAAAAGGGATACAAATCCAGAAACCAAACTCATCCGTTATTTCGATTCTTTAGGGAAACATTTTTGAACGAAAGAATATGACATCTAAAATGGAGAAAGACCGTCGGTCTCGTGATCGTTATCAGTGCCAAAAGAGCTATCCTGAAAAATCTGTGAAGAAACTTGGCAAACAAGCTAAAAGAAGCAGGGATCATAAAAAAAAGCTTCAAATTAGCTTAAACACCCACTTGAAAAGACCTCAGGGCAGTATTCAGCAGAGTTTGTGAATTAAAAATGAAATAGAATAAGAATTGATTGCATGAGTGTGGGCTGTCCACATAAAGCTGAATCCGTCGAAGGAAAGTGTTTTGAGATGAAGGCGCAGCGCATGAAAGAATTGACTCTAATAATCGATTAAAAGTGTTATCAGAAATCGATCTGTTTAAATCCTTTTTCTGATAACTCTCATGATGTGTGATTTATTCTGAAAGTAAGACAAATGGTAATCAGGTATCGTTTGAAGATTCAGTTCCATATTTAGAACAAAACCGTTTTCAAAAAAATCATATCTAATTTTCGAACTAATTGTTACTTGATATTGGTATAAAATGCGCATAAGTTCAAAACGAATCTCGAAAATTGGATGCCTTCATTTTTAAATATTCTGGTATGTTTCAAAACTTCAAGACTTCCTTTTTTTAGTTCAGTAGGTTGAATGAAGTTCGGCTCGGCTCTTAGGCATTGGGGTGGTGCGATCGGTTTCAATCGGCGTTCTCTCGTTGGGCTGAGGAATAAAAGGAAAATTTGATTGGCAGATTTTGTTGTTAGTTATCTGAAGTTAGTGCAACTAAATTATTGGAGTTTGAAGTCACTGCCATGCTACAGTCAAGCAACCTAAGGATCAAATTCATTTCAGTTCGGTATTGGGGTAACACGATGTTTGTAAAGGGCTCAAGACTTCAGCCGATAGTTCAAAGCGGTGATATTACCGTCACCGTGTCATGGTCCAAGGAATAAAGAGAGGGAATTAGGTGATAACAAGCTATAAAAAATATGATCAATACATACACAGGTTCTCGTGTAATGGAATATTTCCGTATCGTCAGTCTAAGTTTGAAAACGTGCGCTAAATAGGACAAAAAAAGGGCTCTAACACCCAAAGAATATCACACCGCAAAAAAGAATCGATCATTATTTAGATAAATTCTTCTTGTAGCCTTTGTTTCACTTTATAAATGATTCAGAGATTGCTACATTCATAAAACTGTCGGAGTCGGCATTTCGTCAATTTTTGTGCATGCATGATTTCGCTAATTTGCACTCACCAGCAGTGCGGCATACCGAGTCATCTTCATGTTACACTTCTACTCACCTGTTGCAAATCGGTGCGACTGTTGCTTAATCTAAAATGAATATCCAATTGCATGGTTCATGGTATAATTTAAGTCAGTTTTGACTACTTCTTTCAGGAAACGGTTTAAACAGTTTTATTGATAAATCACAGCTGCTGATAGTAACAACTATTTTTGGTGAGAGGAAGCAATCATTCGTCCTCATCATATTGGCGTGGCCGGAGCAGTAACAGATTTATGAACCCCTTATGAATGACGAGTGAGCAGCCTTCCTCAAAAATCAAGATCTTATTTCAGGCAAAATCGCCTTTTTAAAATTAATTTGGATAACATGATAAGGAAAATGGCCAAAGATAGTCTGTTCACCACAGGAAAATGCCATCCGGTGTCGTCAAAAACCCACGCGAACAAATATAAACTTGTCTTCATCACAATGACGCGATAAATCATGTTTGTATAAACTTGGTTTATCGCTGAAAACTTGTCAAAAAAGGCTAATACACCTTTGATAATTATTTTTTTGAGATACTGATCTAAATCTGAACTGGGATTTAACACGCAAAAAAAAGCCAACGTTAGGGTTCGCCAATTTTAACATAATAGTTTCTCGGCTTTGAGGTTGTCCAAATACAAAACATCTAACGTTTATTTTTCTCTCTGAAAGATGCTGACGTCTCTTTCGCATCATTGGTTCAAGCTTGAATAAAGTTCTTTTCATCTACTCTATATTGCGTTTTAAAAACTGACGTGATCTAATCCTGCATCCTAAACTTCGTTGCGTTTTTGCTCTTACCGAGAAGAACAGGATCAGCATAGCCAAGTTGTTTCTTTGATCCGAATTCCTTTTTTACAGTCGCACTTAATAACAGTGAACATTTAGCTTACATTTGATACAAGGACTGAACACGAGGTAAGTAATGACATCTTCCGAAGTAACTTGAAGAAATGTTATGTTATACTGATTGATAACACTTACCACCGTATTCAAGTTAGTTTCTTCAAAAGGATCTCGTTGATTCAAGGAAAGAAATTAGGTGGGAAAAGAGAATGTGTTCTTTGTAAAACAGAAAAGAGTCGACTTAAGGATGCAAGAGCCCAAGAGAGTTCCAATCTCCACCTCCTCTGAACTTGGCATTCGATATACTTATCGTGCAATCAATTTCTTTCTTCCGGATAAAGCCTAGCCTTTAGTGTGGTCGTGAACATCACTTGATTGCAACAGGACAACTTTCTGATATATTAGGAGATGAATCATCGAAACGAAAAAGAGATAAGAGTTTGGATAAAACTTTGTAGACTCAGTTACGGCTGATGAATAAAGGGGTAAGTTTCTACAGAAACTGTGGTGCTGCGTCGGTGGGAGAGTAAAGCAGGTAATTTAGTGTTAACAACTGGGTTGAAAACGTAAATTAGCTACCGTAAAGGGTAAAAGAGCTGACGTTTCGAGCGTTAGCCCTTCGTCAGAGCGAAGATCATCGCTCTGACGAAGGGCTAACGCTCGAAACGTCAGCTTTTTTACCCTTTACGGTGGCTAATTTACGTTTTCAACCCAGTTGTTAACACTAAATTATCAGTTACGGCTGCTCGACGATGAAAACTAAAAACGAGTGTATTTAGTCGCTTTCACTCAAACCCCCTTTCTGAAGATCTCTATCTCCATTGTTGATTCAATTTTTTAAAAAAAAAGGGAATAATTTCCCAGCTTCTGTAGTCTGCGCAACACCATTTTGCTTAATAATTTCATGATAATTTCGTATTCCAATACAATAATTTGTTCTTTCCGAAGATAGTAACTACAAGCTTTCTTGAATTTGCAAAATATATTTCGACTGATAGATTGAAATTTTGTTTTTTTTGTTTGCATTATACATATTCTAATAGTGTGAGCGATTTTAAGTGCGGCGTTACTTACCAGTGAATTCAACTTTTCTTGAAAACTTTCTCGTTCCTGAATGGACACTGTGTGATAACTAACTGATCCTTACCGCTAGTTGTAATAAAAGATGAATGATTATGGAGAAAATTTCAGTGTTCTTGCGGACGATCCAATAATATTGTCGGGACGCGATTACAATTGGAAATTATCCAGAGCTTCTGTTTTAAATTATGTCCAAAATATGGTCCTGATTGTTCTCAAAAATGAAACATCGCTAACGAAAGGACACGTTTTTCTTGCCAGTGTAATTCAACATGCGAGGGTTCACTTGGGTGTGTTTTGTTGCCAAGAAGGGTGAAAAAAAAATAACAACGTCAGGTAAATTTGACAAAAGGTTTGAGAGACTGTGCAAAGCTAACCAATGACGTTATTTGGTGGAAAATGTCAAAACAGAAGGCTTCCTGACGCATGTTAATTGGTCTGTCGCTGAAACAACAGGAACTTAAAGATATTAAATAGTAAGAATAACGTAGTCTGAATATGATTGACACTAAGCTTCTAAAGAAGCTAAGCACTGCA